TGAAAAACAAACTGCCAGTCGGAATTCACGGGATAAAAATGATCGTTCATGGCGATCACTCATTTCTTGATCTCTTCATTGCTGTGGTACCAAAAGGCGCTAAACTAGTCGTATTTAGTGTTGACGGTTCACTAACAGGTTCAGTTTCTGTTACGGGTCGCGATCCCCGAGTCCGTCCAGGTGCTGTAGATGTTGTGAGGTTCTGGCATGACTTGGTGAGTAAATTACCTTGGCTACTGACTGTTTCAGAAATTTTTTGATACTTTCAAATACCTCTGCGAAATTTACCTCACTTCAGGGTTATTTAATCACTTATGTCACTGCACGCCCAGATATGCAGCAAAGAGTTGTCAGTGCTTGGCTTTCTTTACATAATTTCCCTCATGGTCTTCTTATCTTTACTCCTTCTTTCTCCAGGGAACCCCTAAAGTAAGGACTCAACTGCATCTTACTTCCTCAATTTAACAGACGAGTACTAATGAGTTTTCCGTTTTTTTTTTTTGCTGAGTTACAACCCGGTTTAGAAACCAGTCTCAATTCTTGTTTGATTCGATTCTTAAAGATGTCGGACACTACTTTTTAGACAAAAGATGCTTCACCTTAAATATTTAATCGGGATGGGGATCACCGTCCAAGCAGCTTATGGCAGCAACAAAGACATTTCCGTCTATAATGGGGCAGGAGTTCGCTCAGACCGAATACTCTCAGTTTCTAGTAATAAACGAAAAGGGTGTAAACATGTTGATAGTTACTCAACGCATCTTATTGATCTCAATAATGGAACTGTTGAATTCGCTCAACCTGCAGATTATATGCTTGTATTTCACCACAATGTTTCCCTCTCGCTAAACAACCAAAGGTCAGTCATGGTTCCTTTTAAGCACTGTGCAGGAAGTGTTTTTGCCATAAATTACATACCTCTGTGTTATAATAAAGCAAAATTTAATTACTAAAATGCCATTTTTTTAGAAATCTAGTGCAGAGAACACATTCGTTTACACCTCGAAGTGGGAGATACGATGGTATAATCAAAGAAAAAAAATAACCATGAATATAAAAATAGTTCAAATTAATTTCATTCACATTCAGTTCCTCATAACAATTTTTCTTCAACTGTAATTGTTAAAGATTTTATATTATATTGCACAAAAAAAGACTAACTCTCATAAGTTTGTAAAAACAAAGACGGGGTTGAATATCTGTCTACTGAAAAAGCCAAAAATTTGGGACTTCTTTTCAAAGAAAAAGTTTTCGATTGGGTAACTTCTAAATACCAAAACATGCTTTTTGAAACGGTAAATTATGGATTTGATAAATAAAACACTGTGTTAGCTGTAGTGATATTTAACCTTTTCAGAGTACAATTAACATTTTTGTTATTTATTATTTATTCTTGTTATATAAGGTGTATCTGATAACTTTAAAAAAATTAACTAATTGAGATCCAGTGCACAACACACTACAGTTCTGATTTTCGCAAAGATTCATGAATGGCGGCTTCCAAAAACTTTTCGAAACGGTCCAAATCAGTAAGATTCCTGAATTTGCAAACGTTCAATATTTCAGTGTACAATTGAATTGGATTATAATGAGTGTATATTTCAAAAGTAAAAAAAATTCATAATTGTTCAATAACTTAAACATAAGAACAGTTTAGTAAGTCAGACTAGTGTTATCCAATCATTCCCCAATTACCTTACAAATTCTTTCTAAGTGACTCAAATTACTTAATTTGTGTGAACCCTCCATTAAGAAACAGTAGTAAGCGCATGGAACCTTGTAAAAATGCGGCAACTCGGTTTTACATTACAGTAGTCAGAAAACGCGCAGAAAGCTGCGAATCCATAATAAATAGATGAGGTAGCTCCCACTACAAGCGCCCAATCACCAAAGTCCACCGAGATGAAAGAATTTATAGAGCGAAGTGCTGTACGCAGTTGGCTAGCAGATACTTTTGATCCACGAGAAGAATAAGAAGTGAATATGGTTTGATACAACTGTACTCCATCTAAAATATTCGGTACTTGCTTTCAAAGGAATGCATAGTATTCTAGTCGATTATAATCAGAGAGCTTAACACTCAGACATCAATTACAACTAAATATGTCCAATAAAAGGGAATTCCCACATTATGAAGAATATACAAGATACCGATTGATACCAGTCGTATAACCAAGTAACTACTTCTTGTACTAGTCTCAGTTTCAACAGAAGAACCATTTACCTACCAAATACTCAAATTATTTTGTTCTCAAAGTGTTCGAGTAGCAAAAGGTTAATGAACTATATCTATACTCGTCCTTATCAAGGAGCTCATAAGTAGCGTAAAATCAGTGAAGAACCACAATTACTCAAGTGGTCTTGTTAGACTGAAAATTAAACATATATTTTATGCTACTCGCCTGACAAAACAATATCCAATAAAAGGTTTTGTAGTCTAGATAATAAAATTTTTTAGTTTCTGCTAAGTTAGGAACCTTGGGAAAGTTTCCAAGCAATTAAAGTGCTTAAAATTATCAAATTTAAATATTTGCAAGAAGTTAACGTTGCAATAACAAATAAGTTTAGTAGCTTACAAAAGAAAGAAGAAAATGAATAAAAAAAATAGACTACATCAACAACACTACCGTATACTGCACACAATTTTTGTGTCTAAGCGATAAACTATGTTAAGAATGCATGGTGAAGTAACTATAAAACGAAAAAAAAAAAA